ATTATTTCCTATTTTTGTTCTTAATTTTTTCAAACAAATTTCAATTGTGAGTTCAGCGCTGTGACTCGTCTCTGTCCGTATCTAACCCGCTGCGTTGTAAATTATTCTACGATGAAAGTGTATTTCTCTTATCATGTTGAAGTGCCGCGAGGGTCAAGAACTTTCGCGACCTTTCCGTCGTCGAGAAAAGGTACCTCGTCATGCTTAAGCGCTCGACTTGTTTTTCTCTGGTCCGTAGTACTTAACATGAAAATAAAGCCTCACTTCAACTATAACAAGCACCCAGCGACATGATGGTGCCCGTAGCTCTAGTGCTGTATAGTAGCAGGTCTACATTGGTGTGACCTGAATTGACCGAGAAATTCTGGCTGCTTCAACAATGGTACAGTGCTGTAGGTTAAAATAACATTGCTGCCAAACATTACCGATAGCAACCCCAAATTTGTACTGCCACCAAAATGCTTTGCTCAAGCAAGTGGGAAACGTGGCGGCGTGAGTCGCCTATCTAACGGTGAAGAAGAGAGGGCCCTCGTTGCTGTAGATAGGGGACACTTAATTCGGCAAATTATTGGTTCTTCAGTAGTGTTGTTAATGCTCTCTTGGTTTGGAAACAGTCAGCCAAGTTCCACAGTGAATAATATTGTGGATATATTCAATGTTACACTGTAGCGCACTGCCTAAAAGAAGACTACTTTGATGTGACGTGGGTATAGAAAGTTTTCCGCGACATCGATGATTTCATAGTAGTGACGTCAAAGTGGTATGAACGAGGGTGCACATGTACTGGAAACCTTTTGGCAAGACTTAGTTCCTTGACGCTGACCTGTGAGTTGGCAGAACAAGGAACCATCAGCTTTGTAGACTTCTGGCTAAGCTTTTCAAATTCTCAAGTGGGCTGGAAATACGAGCCGGGCACCGATAATCATTTGCTCCCCGTCTCTTTTCGCTCAAAACTTGTGAAGAGAGGGGTCGCAAGCCCGTGCCTCCAAAATGCTTTCCAGAAGTTTTGTTATCATTTAGTACAGCAAAACTTTGAAGCCCATCTACGTCCAATTGAGTAGGCTGGATATCCGGGTTATATCACTAAGCTAGTGGCTAACTGCCTAATACAAGAAGTCAAAAAGTCCCTGAAGAGCGTGTCGAGCATAAATTTCAGAGCGAGAATGTTAATTTTCGTAGGTTTATTGTCTTACCTTACTCTCTCGACGTCTCACATCAGCTGAAAATATTGAGGGTGGCGTTGGAGTGCTAGTGCTTTTTACGGCACTCCGTAAGTCGTCACTTTGCAATATGACAAAAAAAATGTGACGGGAATAGGTGCTTGCACAACTAACCAGATAACAAAATTTCGCAGATTTTGTTGAAAAAGTGGTGTTCGCGATTCCACCCACATGTGGAGAGAAATACGTAGGCCAGACGGGCCACTGAGTAAATGAAATACTCCGGGAGCACAACGACAATGTGCATAAATCGGTGCAAGGCCACCTGCAGGTTTTCATTGTCGAGATTGTGGATGCGAGCTGAAGTTCTGTTAAACCAAGGTGGTCGCTACTCACAATGATCAGATGACGCGTGAAATCAGTGAGGTCCGCGATTTTTCGACTGTAGGATGACTGCGCCAGTATGACTTCATTGGGACTAACGCAGGTGGAAACATAGTATCTGGATTTGTATTGCAAGATGTGCAATAAGTGCGTGTTTCCTTGGCATTTCATTGTTTATATTTCTTTTGTAAACGTGTTGTTGTAAGCGCGAAGTGTGATTTCGTAAAGTAATCGTGTGTCCGTCCAATATATTCAGCTGAAAGCTTGCGCTTGTGTTCGTGTAAGTCTTCTTAGTATTCATCATTTGGGTGGTGCGCAATGACGTAACAAAGAAAATCCAAGAACTCGCCTAAGCAAGTAAGCTTATATGCTTATTTATAATTTGCAGATAAAAACGATGGTATAGTTTATTCACAGAATTCCAAACTAACGCTCTTTATCTAATATGTACCACAATTCACTCTCACTTATACATCATTACCATTATTTGAAGTCATACATTCATATACAGAGGATCACCAGCATAGATTTATAACAAAAAAAGAAGGCAATGAAGAGTGAGGGGCGTAGCGAGACATTTTTTTTCGGAGGGGCTGGTGGAGGTTCCCAGTGACCTGAGTTGTGATGGGGACAGGCATCAGCGTTCCTCTGTGAAATGACTATCGGCGGTAGTTTCAGCAGATTGTGTTGCAGCGAATCAAAGTCATAAAACAGCCCCCCCCCCCTCCCCATGCGTGTGCTTGTAAGGAGAAAAAATAAAAGCTAATTAATCACAGTAAAATACAGGAAATGACAGGTACAGTGGCTGTTTGGAGCAACGGCTTCTCGTTGCATCGTTGAATGGACAAGTTTTCGAAAACGTATCATTGCGACGCCCATGCGACTGAAGACGACATCGTGAATTGTTAGCCTTTGTTAAACGTCGATGGCGTATATGTCTCGCCGGGGTGAAGTGCGTTTCACTAGTCACGGACGTCTCCGCTTACAACGGGGAATCAGAGCTATACGCAGCATGTTTTTCTACAATCATAATGGCATTTTGGTTTGGTTTACATTGCTGAGCGAATTTTCGACAGTCGATGTTGGTGAATGCCGGCCAAGGGAAATGATTTTTATGTTAAGCACTATATGTCAAGCAGCTCGGATACAGTTATAGCTTTCAGTAAACATTTTTACTTAACTGCGCGCATTCAAGCATGCTTCCGATACACAATACGTAATTTTTTTGTAAGTTATGCTGCACGTTGGAAACACGATTTCGCACGCACGCGTTATTTTTCAGGCAGACTTTCTCGCAACCTTGGTTGGCATTACAGTTGCAACGTGACTTTTGATAGCAATGAACCGCTCCAATCGCAAAGGTTTTATCGTGCAATGTGCAAGGGCAAGGTAAACATTGTTGAGAAATGTTCATTTGGTCTCAATCAAAAGTGGACCTGGCAGCAAACTATACCATTCAGATAGAAATAGCTTGTTCGCTGTGTTTGCGCGTTAGAAAACCTAGAATACACACACAAAAGCGTAATGTTCTCGTCTTTTTTCTTTTCGTAGTTTCTGTCACTGTTATACTTGAAACATTAGCATTGCCGCAATGTGTGTCCCATTGTTTGCAAGCATATAGCTGTCATTTCCCTTTACGTAAACAGATTTAGAACTGCACAGAACATTTCACTGCGCACCATAATATGACTTGTATACACTGTTCTAACTAGTATGTGCAATTATGTTTGCAGCACTTAGGCCCGCGCGAACAGAAGCAGCCTCGTACCACACAAGGTATACATAGAGTAATTGGTTCACCAGTGAAGAAGGAATGAACTCCTGTCTGTTTCAGAACATAGTGCATCATAATCAGCTTCTCAAAACGCGTGAACTACGACGAGAACTGCCAGAGCATGCAACGTGAGTTTACTTACGCTGCAGTGTGCACCAAACGTGACTGCAGGTTGTCTGTTTCGAGTATTATGATGCGAGTCACTAGAATTTCACTGCAGGCACCAAATCCTTCGCGTTCATTCCCCTTTTTGGTATGGGATCACAATGCAGCAGACACTGCCAGCCTTCCGTAAGGGCGCAATCACAAACTCGAGACGTATCCTTAATTGATATGTGGGGTTTAACGTCCCAAAACCACCATTTGATTATGAGAGACGCCGTAGTGGATGGCTCCGGAAATTTCGACCACCTGGGTTCTATAACGTGCACCCATTCTGAGCACACGGGCCTACAACATTTCCGCCTCCATCTGAAATGCAGCCGCCGCAGCCGGGATTCGAAACCGCGACCTCCGGGTCAGCAGCCGAGTACCTTAGCCACTAGACCACCGCGGCGGGGCGCGAGACGTATCTTGCGCGAGTAAAATACCTTACCGGCGCGCGAAGGGAGGCGGAGGAAATGTGTACCCACGAATCTTTCCGCTAGGGGAGAAACAAGCGCGAGTTTTTAAAGCAAAACTTCACCAGCCGACATGTGTCGTCACTAAAGCATGCGCTGTTTGCCACGCTGCTGAATAATAAAACTTGTGCTCACTACAGCTGCCCACAATGCATTTCTCATCAGGCTGTTTTATGTTTATGACCACCTTCTTTTTATGTATCGGCTTAAGTTATATGATGATAATACTAGTAGGCCTTTCCAAGGTTGTGATCCACGGTTGTCTTTGATGAACCTTCGTCACTGACAACACTTCGGAGTGCCCTTAGACGTCACAGCACAGTAAAAATATGTGTCAGTGTATTGTACACTCACATGCAAGCCAAGTGCACTGGATGACTCGAAGATTTCGTTGCGCGCGCACGCTTGTGTGTGTGTGTGTGTGTGTGTGTGTGTGTGTGTGTGTGTGTGTGTGTGTGTGTGTGTGTGTGTGTGTGTGTGCGTGTGTGTGTGTTAGATTTCATCAGAATGCGCAATGGTTGAATGTTAGTTTCGGATTGAATATATTTTACCACACGTACGAAGAGTCACACTGGCACATGCTTCAACGTGGCCTATTATACCTTGGAAGTGTGTTTGGCTTTTACCGTTAAAACAAACCTTTGCAAAGTGATCGAGTCTAGCGAGGTGTGTTCCAGCAGGTACAATGATCATACTGAAACACTAATCCTGTTGCCAAGCCAACCTAAAATGCACCAAGATTCCTGCACAAAATCTTGACAAACACAGGCTTGACAAATACAGAGATACCATATTCAGATATTATTTACTCTAAAGGTGCCCAGAAATGATACTGTCATAGTAGCACCACTTAGTTTCTAAATCAAGTCAGCGCGAAGTGACAAAAAAAAAGTCGGGTAAGTGGCAGAGAGGGGCGGGGGGGAGGGAGTTTGCGCGAAAAATTCTAAGAGGAAAGGTGGAACCCCCCCCCCCCCCCCCCCCTGCTTCTTGGCTACACCAGTGTGAAAATTTTACGTTTCTTTAAAGCTGGAAAGAGCAAATGGGACACACAATCAGTGATTAAGAAATATACCTTGTACGTTTTCTTCTTCTTTATTATAACACGTACCATGTTGTCATGATTGACTGAATCGATGTATTTCTTGCATCTATTGAAGACTAGATGAAGCGGAGCTCTGTCATTACGCACGTGCAGCTCACCTAACTCTACGACATACCTGTGTATCAGTAGGTACACACTCCAAGAGTTGTTTGATGATGAAATGCTTGTACTATCATTACGCACGGGCAGCTCACCTAACTCTACGACATACCTGTGTATCAGCAGGTACACACTCCAAGAGTTGTTTGATGATGCAATGCTTGTATTATCATTACACACGTGCAGCTCACCTAACTCTACGACATACCTGTGTATCAGTAGGTACACACTCCAAGAGTTGTTTGATGATGGAATGCCTGTATTATATACATAAATTACAATGAAAACGATGTTAGTTGAGCTTGATGGTACACACTGATGTTTTTCTTCGAGTCGACACAGTGGCCTTTTAACAAAGCAAAACAGTCACTTCAGATGAAATAGTACAAAGTGCACATAGTGCACTGTGTTTCCAAGCTTAGAGTCACACGCCTTGACAAGGTAACGCTGGTCAAAAAGCATATGCAGGTGGTAGCTCTGCTGCACTGTAGCTGTACTTCGGAAGAACAGCCGCGACTTGTACACTGTTGCTTGCTTCGATAGTCTTTACATCCCAGCGCTTGGTCCGTTTGGTAATGTCCCGCAGACGCACAGCGATCCACATGAATCCACCCAGAAGGACTCCAGATCCGCATATGATGAATAGCTTGTCGTATGCCCCGATGACGTCCCTGAAGTAGCCTGTGAAGAATTAAAAACATTTATCAGTTTTTCTTCTGTGTTATATCTACAATAACAACATTACTAATGCGTATTCGCAGTGTATGAAACCAGAACAGTAAAGAATACTTTGTAAAGAGCTAGTATTACGAAGAGGATGCATTTTCACGTGTATCTTGCTTCAATGAGGCGCACATTGTTGCTGACGACTGACACTATATGGCATTTGACATCTGCGCATCTTCGTATCTTCAGTAGCACTGAGAATTAATAGACCCCAATATCAACGAGTGAAGAATAGTTACTGGTCTAGTTAGCCTTGCAGATACAATGGTGGGGGGAGCAGCAGAGCTACAGATACAAACACACTCAAGTAGAATGAAGAAGCAGAGACAGTAGACCTTCTCTTCTTCGTTACCAAGCACAATTAAAACATGGCATTCTAACAGTGCGCAGGTACAGTTATAGATTTCATACATGTTAAAAGATGTTCTCTGTTACCTGCGTAATGTATTGCATTTTTTACGGAAGTATGACTACATACGGTTCTGCATGATTATGTATAATTCTTTTGGTAAACCTTGCGATGCTGTCAAATGTCATATACATGGTCTCATTGGCACCATCAACCTGCTCTTTGTGGTAATTAGCCTAGCAGCCTGTTCAGAATGTTTCCTATTCTGATTAATAAATAAAGATGCCTCAATCCAATACAACTAAAGCTCGATTGAATTACGCTGGTTTCGTTCTTTGATTTGTTTTTTTTTGCTTTTCTGCGCGTTCGCCCCTAACTGCGTAGCGTGATTGCCTTGACCATAGCTATGAACTTTTGTTGGAGGGAGAGTTCGCATGGGTTTTGGGGAAAGCGAACATTATTACTACACGATTATTATGAGTGATCATCGCTATGCCAGCGATAGTTCAGTAGACCTATGCAACGTGTTCTCACTGAATAAAAATGACTGTCATGGCGTCTTTAAGCTGAGTCGCTCGTGATACAGATCACTCCACGCTCTCTCAACAGGAACGATGGTACTTGCCTACAGAATGCCTGCGTGAAATAGTGAAGCGTGCATAAGGGCAACCGCTCAGGCACATGTTCTCATTTCGCTTGTGAACAAGGCTCTCGTGGGGGAGCTGAAGCGTCTTTTTTCAAGGTGTATCAATTTAAAAAATGGTCGGCTCAGTAACTCATTTTCTTTTTCCTTCTGCATATTTATACCAAGCGCACTACATTCTTTGGCGACGGGGCCTATGTATATATTGAATAGAACAGTGCCATGACCATTACACATAAACAGCAGCCCCGGAGTCACTAGTAGCAATGATTTTGCTTCTGCTGCTCACTACCAGCGATTGTTCAGGTAAGCATGTCAAGCACTTGCTAGACCATCTCTGAATTTTTTTAAATTCATAGGGATGGGCGTCAGTACAAAAAATTAATGAAGACAACACGCGGACTCACTATTACATGCTGCTTAACTCTTTCTCGGACTGTTATGCCTAAGCTCTATCGTAATACTGCGCAAACGGCCTCACTCCGGTCGAAACTCAAGAAAAATTTGAGCCGGGCATAACTCGGCTAAAATCACCCTTACTCAGTTTTAATTAGCTAATTTGGGCTCGTCTACGATATTGCTGCACTATGCCGTTTACATGGAGTCAAACTCAGCAATCTTTATTGAGGTCGGCTTATTCATATTGAGACATATGGTTTCTTTTGAGCCTAAGAGCGACCGCTCATGCGTAAGCTTGCCATCCTATAGGAAAAGCTATAAAAATAGAGCGCGAGGTTTTACTTTGTTTTGATTAGTCAATCACGCAGCGTTAAATGATACACAGTGGGTTGGTGAAAGTCATTTTTTTAATATATGTTGCACATTTTGTCTTAGGGTACCAGAATTCGATCTCGCATGTAGGGCTGTGTGAAATGAAGTTGAAGTTGAATGGCACGCAGAGATGCTTGAAAAATAAAATTTGGTACCTATTATTAGAGGCTTAAAGAGCGACGTAACACCAGAGAATCCTGAGACCATGCCGTAGGCCATGGATACACGGTCGACGCCCACGTACTCCGCCAGTAGTACGGAGACCAGGCACATCACGATGCCGATGCAGAAGGCGATCGCCGTGGCGAATGTGAAGAGAGCGGCGTAGCTCGATGCCAATGGAACAAGCACGAACAGCGATCCAAGGCACAGGAAGGTGACAGTCACCAGCGTCTGCCGACTTATGTAGCCCCTGGCGTGTGAGAAAACAGACGGTAATCAATCGAACTTCATCGTAGAAAGCACTATAATGACGTTAAAACAAGAATATACTATGTGGCTCGCAAAGCAAACCATAGACAGAGGCAGAAATATCTAGACAGGTTATGTAAGCAAGGCAGCGTGGTAGCGTCAATGATTCACCATCATCCAGTTTCGTGAACTTTCTCACTTCACTTTCATTGAGCACAAGAATTAACTTTGCTTGTGTTTACGTATGGATAAACTATGAGTGTAAAAAAATCCATCGAAACTGCGGCGGCCGCAACAAGGATTCAAGCCCGTCCTGTATGATCACATAGAATGGAAGCCACATGTGCATTCAGAACCCGCCATGGTGGTCTATTGGCTAAGGCTATCGGTTGCTGACCCGCACGCCGCAGGTCGTGGGATTGAATCCTTGCCGCAGCCTCCGCTGTATCGATGGAGGGGAAAATGGTTGAGGCCGGTGTAATTACACTTAGGTGCAGGTTTAAAGAACCCCCGGTGTTGGGAATTTCCGGAGCCCTTGGCTATGGCATTTCCCATATTCATATTGTGGAATCGGGACGTTAAACCCCTACAATTTTCTTATTCACAAAGAAAGGCTTATATACAAATGGCTTCTTCACGATACGAGAAAAAATGCGGGTAGAAGGGTTTGAAGTTTCATGCAAGAGACACCTTTGAGATCAGCCCCGCCGTGGTGGTCTAGTGTGGCTAACGTACTCGGCTGCTGACCCGCAGGTCGTGCGATCGAATTCCGACTGCAGCGGCTGCACTTTCGACGGAGGTGAAAATGCTGTAGGCCCATGTGCTCCAATTTGGGTGCAAGTTCAAGAGCCCCAGGTAGTCGAGGTTTTCGGAGCCCTTCACTATGGCACCTCTCATAATCATATGGTGGTTTTGGGAGTAATGTTAAACCTCCCATATCAATCAAATCATCACTTTTGAGCTCAGCATATGCGTTCATTATGGGATTATTGTAAAATTTGCAGATCTTTTCTGCTTGACAAGTTTCAGACTATATTTAAGCGATGCTGGTACGAAATGCGAACATGAAAGCCTATTTTTGCTATATTTCTGCTGAAGATAGTTGCTGCAAACTAATGTTGCGGAGTTTTTAAATGCCTTCAGTCATCTGTGCTAGTACCCTTGACTAAGTAACCAAACTGGTGAGCCATATTTACTGCATGACGCAAGAATTCTTATATCTATGTTTATCTTGTGGCCCTGAAGCGCTGTGCATTCATTTACTTGTAAGTTCATTTTAGGGACATTTGTGTTCAGTCATTGGCTTTGCAAGCTGAAACGTCTCAAACTAAGCACGAAGGGTAGTCATGAGTTCCCCTTTCATTTTTGCCCACACAGTTGACCATGCTTTACTACAGGATACATATAATTGCAAGGAGCAACCTATGTCACAAAAAAGAAAAAAAGTGAACAGTTTGCACTAGAGGTGCAAGGATGGAACCACCAGAAGAAGTGGTGTTGGACCTAACTAAAGATTTCAAGTAGTTCAAAGTTTTTCCTAGAAATTTAAAGATATTGCTAGTAATACTATGGCTAGAATTGGCTAGACATGTCACGCTATTCCGTGTTGTGTGTTGTGGTTTTAGGTACTTGACAAGCTGTTCCGTGGTTTTGGCAGGAACATGTAGAGTGATAAGTGGCTATGTGATGTGGCGTGATTAGGACTTCGTGACGAAATGTTCCATCATTTTTATTCGTAGGAAAAGCTAGGTGGTGTAACACGATTTCAGTCACGTGAGTAGCTACGTGATGTAACTTCATTTTTATTCACTCGAGTGCTTTTAGGTCATATATAGTTATGAGCCTGGATGTTATGTGATGTTATGTTACTTCAGTCAAATAACTAGATGTTGCGTGATTTTTAGTCACGTCGATAGTTACTGAGGACGAAGATGCACTCACTAACCAACTCAAGGTGAAAGAACACAAAAGGGTTCGAAACCCAAATGGTCTCCTTGTTCACACTAAGCAGGCAAAGGTCGTACGTCACTTTTCATGTTGAATGTGACGTAATGAATAAATGTAGCTGGCAGATAGTTTTCCAGTCGTCCTGTTGATAGTGTCCTGAGTAGTCTGGATAAAAACACATTCCAAAATCCGTCTTGTGGTCGAATCCTTTTTCTTGATTATAATAGCTGTGTTGTCTCTATAGATAAAATTATTGTGATTATCGGCATGCTTGGCAAAGGCGTTTGATGCTTTATTGTTGTAGCCTGCATTCCTTGATTAGTACAGTGAACATTACCGCATGATATAGTGTGATTTCAGTTCCGTGGCAAGTAGTTACGTGATGTTACGTAATTTTTAGTCTCGGAAAGCACTCGCCGATGACTGGTTTTGTGTTCCACGGCGGAAAAAATTGGCACACGTGATGTGGGAGCCCACCATAAGTTCAAGAGGAAGAAGCAAGAGCGTTCCAGTTCGTGATAACAGATTTTGTTTGCACAACTCCGGACAACAAAGAGCTTACAGAGCTCTACTCTTGATTGTGTTTTGAGAAAAGACGTTCGAAAGTCCTATATGTTCCTTTCTAGTCTTAATACACTAAAGAGTAGTGCTATTCAATTTTGATGTTATAATAAAGCCGTTGTGGGAATTCTCTGCGTGCGAGGACACTCCACACGAGTGTTGCAGACACAGAACGCTTAGGATATATTTAAATTCACTATCGAAGTGTACCTAAATGCTGATTCTCGCGATCAAAACTAATCGCTAGCGCGTCCAGCAAAGACGTAGCTTTTTAGGAAGGGCACCGAAAGTTGTAGTGACGTCGCGCCAGATCTGTAGTGACATCAGTGAACTACAGACCTCCGCAACATACTTCAGTCGGTACACCACGCATCGGTGCACCGTTCATCGGTTGGTAAGTCCCACCTTGCTATTAACGAGTGGTCTGTACACCACATGTGCACGCGCCTGTCACAGGTAGCCATGGCAAATGCCGGCGCATTTGTTTTGCAAGTCTTTGTGTGGTGTGCGAAATGAGACAGCATGACGAGCATCCCAGCCTTCTGTGGTCAGATGACCAAGCCACCTACACGGCTACGTCACTGCCCAAGTCGGCGCCCAAAAACCAAAACGGAAAGATTTTCACATATATATTGGGACAATAAATTATTCAGCAATAATACATGGGCTTTGGTACGGGCATTATGCTCCCTGGACATATAAGAAACACTTTCCGCAGAGAACACGCAAGCCACAAATTTGGTGCCACCCCCCCCCCCCTTTAAGGTATAGGTAATGAGGATGAAGCAAAGTATTTCGGAGAGAGATCATTTATACTGTGGGAATGTAATACCAACCTATCGGCAGCCAAGGGAAGCGTGAGGCGGCCCACCAAGTCTGCAATCGAGCTCAACGAGATCATTGTCACGGCCCGCGAAAAGCTGACGCCTTTGTCAATGGCGAAGTCAATCAGGAGTGAAATGTAGCATTCAAAGGCGAAGATGAAGGCGATGTACGAGTAGGCGACCAGGTAGAACATGGGGCAAGAGAAGACCGTCAGGGCATGCCGGAACGATCCGGGGACCGGTGCCTTGCGAGTATTCATCTTTGGTCTGCAAGAGAAGAAGAACAAAGCCGTTCATAAGCTTCTTTAGGATAAACGATAAAGTATGAACAGGCTTCTGTTTCCAAATCAAATAGCTAATTGTACAACTGAGCTGACTGTCCTTGTGAAGTGAGAAAAGATATTGGTTATGGTACCGGCACACTGTCGTAAACAGCACACCAAAAATCCGATCATTTGCATTTCGAGTATGCGATACAATATCTTCGGTGGTACAGTTTTACAAACCGTGATGTGCACAATCAGCACTACCGTTAGTTTTTCTCTGCTTTCTGATATTGCTTGAAGAAAAAAATATAAGAAGCAAGATGCAGTATATGCCGAAGATGATGAAGGAGCATACGCCAGCAAGGTGGTGATAGTGTCTTTTCTACAACGGGAACCTGACAAACAACAAGTATAACTGTACCGCAAAAAAGGTATATTTAGTGCAACCTGTAAATCATATAAACGTGCGTGTCTACGCGATAGATAAACGCTCAGCCATTTTATTTTCTACTTATGCAAGTTAATCCAAGGCGGGCTCCTGCTTACAGTTATACTACTGTCCCTACGCCAGGCCTCAGGCATTTCACAGGTCTCGTCATTCTCATGCCCGTATAAGTTGCACACATGCATGGTGTTTTTCAGTGCAACTGTGCTTTCGACAACGTAAAGCAAGATTATATGTGACGGTTTCAGTAGCATGAGCATCTCTAGCATTTTGTTTGTGGGGGGTGTAAACTCTTGTTGCACAACGGCTGGAGAGGAGGGGGGACGCAGGAATGGCTTTCGGGGTGGGGAAACCTCCGTGCACTTTGAGGGGAGCAAGTGCCCATTTTGCACCCTTTGCTGATGCCCATGTTTATGAGTGTCTCATTTGCAGAGTGTCCTGTTTGTCTTACGTGAAAGCGGTCGCAGATAAAAGGAGCTATTTGTCGGAGGACAGCACGGTACTATGTGTATTTAAAGAAACACATACTAATGCACATTTTGTCTATTATATACTAATGCTTTCTTGGTATACGGAGGCAAGTATCCTACCTTGCCTCTTCACAGCCATACAAAAATCTTAATTTCGTGTGCACGCATACCTTTTTGTTAAGCCTGTGCGAATACAAGTGAGTGTAAAAAACACCTTCAACTTCTTTGCAGTTACTGCAGCTTTCTGCAACCACTTGGGACTTGACGAAACAAATGCTCTTAATATATTAGAGACATTGGCTATGGCAATGCACGCACAAAGTGCTTTTAAAGTGGATACTACCTCTAGCATCCACTTCCATTTTAATATATTAGGCCCAGTTGTGTGTATGCACAGACGTACAGCTAGTGAAACATCAATGTTGTGTAATGTGGTTTATAACAAATTCGTGTTTCATGCCTTCAAATTTTTCTTTCAATAGGAGTTGAGAAGAGCAATCAAAAGTGCATCTATTAATTAGGGTATTGCAAAACTGCCGCAGCAGTTTGTTTTTGAGCATGAATCATGTGTCACTATAATGCTGACGCATTTTTCTTTTGTTGTTATGATAATATACTCAACACCCTCTAACAATGATATGAATACGAGGGATGCCTTAGCGAAGGAGTTCAGGAAAATTTGTCATTCAGTGCTTTTTAACGTGCACCTAAATCTTCCTACTGGGGAATCTAGCACTTTCCTTTCTACGTAAGGCGCTCGCGGCAGCCGGACCATCAAGTCCGCAGACAACCAATATAGCCGTTCCCCCTAATACCACGGGGGATTAATTTGAGTGTTTAAGATGACAGAGACAAACGAATGCATGGTATACGTACAGGCTTCCATTAGCAGGTTCTAATGAACCATTTTGAGCCTTGCAAGTGGTGTTCGCATCCGCAGATATCTCGGTGGCTGCGGCGGCTGCTTTCGTTTGTATCTCCTGGCGCCTCTTCAGCCACTCCGGTTGCCTCAGGAAGAGGCTGAATGCGACAGAGTTGAGGCTGATGGCGCCGAACAGCAGCATGGCACCTCGGAAGCCGTACGCATCGGTGAGCACCTCCAACGTCTGGGGGAAGACGAACGTGGCCATGGTGGAGCCGGCAAAGTTGATGCCCATGGCGATACCCCTGTAGCGGACGAAGTGCTCGTTGATCACCGTCGGAATCACCACGAACACCAAGCCGCTCCCAATTGCTGGAGTAAGGACAAGCGCACAGAGTGGCAGAGGGAGGGATACAGAGACAACACTAAAGGTGTGGCTGAAGCGTGTCACTAACGCCAAGCAACTGCAGTGCAGTAAACGTAGCAATTTTCACTAACGCCAAGCAACTGCAGTGCAGTAAACGTAGCAATTTTTGCGATGTCCACGCAAGAACTTTCCGCAACACCTATCTAAATTCATGACCTAGATGCATAATGTAGGCCGGAATTCACAAACGAAACTTATAACTTACGATTTACGGAACTTAGCTGCGCTTTACGCGTTTCACCGGCCAATCGTGTTCTCTAATTGGCACTTGACTAACGGAAATTTAGTTAAGCTAACTAACGCCCACTTTAACTAACAGTTAACTAACACCCGCTGTTCGTTGTGACCACCCCGCCGCGGTGGTCTAGTGGCTAAGGTACTCGGCTACTGACCCGCAGGTCGCGGGATGAAATCCTGGCTGCGGCGGCTGCATTTTCGATAGAGGCGGCAATGTTGTAGGCCCGTGTGATCAGATTGGTGTGCACGTTAAATAAGCGCAGGTGGTTGAAATTTCTGGAGCACTTCGCTAAGACGTCTCTCATAATCATATAGTGGTTTCGGGACGTTAAAGCCCACATATCAATAAATCAATCCTTGTGACCAGCCGAAGGCGTGGAAACCAGCAAAGGCGAGAAATATTTGTCTGGCATTCTGAAATGTACCTTAACAAAGATTAGAATACCAACTGCCCACGTTGAGCCCAAGTTACCGACATTTATACGCGGTTTATTCAATCATACAAGCATGAAAACTTCTACCATTTTGTTTCGGAAGATTTAGTTACCCGCAAAACTGGTTTCCTATAATAAGTAAGCCTTAAATGTAGCATTCGAAGCTTGCCTCAATCTTATCATAAAATTAAAATTTTTGATGCTTCAATAAGTCATTTTTTGCGATTGTTAATATCTCTTCTTGAATACGGCAACAAGTTTTTGGGGAGCACCCTATACTGACCACCGTTTAAGTTGTCCCTCAATTGAGAAATATACCAAGCAAAACAGGGGAACAAAGAAGGAATTGTTAAGGATCTTACCTGAAAGATTTGACATTTGAGCATAAGTTTTCTATAGATAACCACCAGGATAATATTAGAATTAATTAGAATATAATTAGTGCGCATAGAAGTTACAGAAACGAGCACATCTTGTTAGCCTTAAAGGCAACATAGTAAATCGAGGTTCAGTGGGTGCGTAGTAGTGGGTACAGAGTTGCGTGACGCACTCGAAAACGTTGATTCACATTATTAGGAACTAAGTTCGAACCTATGATGCCAATAGAGCTATAAATATGGTATTTAGAGTGTTGGTAAAACTTCCAAAGTTTACTTATCAATAAACTCATTTTCGACTCATTGTAAAAGGCAAGCGTTGGCCTTACGTCGCTACTGAACGCGCCTTGTCTCGTCCTCACTTCGCTGCGCCCAGTTCGCGCGTACTCTGAGTTTGCATTTTACCAAGATACATAACACGGGCAACGTGCGCTTAGCGCCATATTCGCTTGGCGTTGCGTCAGTCTGCTTTGTGAGGCAGCGCTTGCTTCGCACCCTCCCAGCACTCCTATGCGCATCAAACGCTACAGGCGAGTGCCGTTCAAGCATGGGAAAAAATAGAAGGGAGCGTTCGATTCCTACCGACCTCTTCTCAATGGGCACAGGCGGTCGCCGAACACAATTTAGAATATACAGTGTCCTTACAGCATGAAGTCAAGCCGTAAAAATTGAAACGAGGGCATTCTGGGAATTATGAGCAGCGCATGGAGAACAATAAAGGCAGCGGCGTCCGAGGGAGATGGCTTGTGGACTCTAGCTGCACGCGTCCATTCGTATTTGTTGTTTTTTTTTTGCCATGATCACCACAAAAATATAAAAAAAGAAACAGAAGAACCAGGCGCATGATGCAAAATGTGCTACGAACACGAGAAGCTAGCTGTTTCAGAGCAGGTTGGCTTGCAGAGGCCAGGCGCGCTCCCTCCAATTTTTTTTTTTTTACCTGAGTTATTCAGCACGCCTAAAGGAACTTTATGGCCAGTTTTTTTTTCTTTAGAGTTGTGTTTAGAATAAATTGTTAATGCTTTAGAGCACTAAACCCACACTACTAAAGGAGAGTCATAAACTGTCCCCAACATGAGCAAATGATGACCCGCCAACAGGATCTTTAGAGTGCATATATATATATATATATATATATATATATATATATATATATATTATATATATATATATATATATATATATATATATATATATATATATATATATATATATATATATATATATATATATATATATATATATATATATATATATATATATATATATATATATCGCATTTTTTACCGCGCTGACGAACGGAGGAACCACCTCCAGTCGAAGCCCTTAGATGTCTACATAAGCCCAAGATCAATGCTATAATAAAGGCTATATTTACTTCATCCTGGAGGCAGTCCCAGTAGTCAAAAACAAAGAGAAAGCTCATGAGGGTGTGAGTTTCAGGTCAGCTTCTTTGCAGCGTTCGCGGGAGCAAAAAAAAAAGATAACTCGGAGTGCGCTCAGAACTTTTGAAGAATGTGAAGGCGGAAGCCTTCTTACATAGCCTCTAACGGCTTGGTGACGAACTTTTTGCTGATGTGCTGAACCTTATGAAAAACTGTAACACAGACACAAATGGCGATTCGGCATTTCACAACCGGATATTTGTAAAAGTGATGCATTATGCTTCATGCTGCTTCACACATTATAAGACCTCTTTTTTGAACACATCTTGTCTATTTGGTCCAGTGAAACGATTCTTCAGAATACTTTGTTTGCTGCATACCTTTTTAAAATTACTCATTGTAGTATTCAACGTTCTTTAGTTCTCAGGGCAGGGTGCGATGAAGTACACTAGCGTTAGTAATAGAACAAACGTCAGTGAAGCATCGTATGTGAAGTTGCTTCCAAAGTGCGACAACTCACCGTGCAATATTCCCAGGCTCATGATGAGATGCTCAATGCGTGTTGCAAGGAAGCACAGCATGAGGCCCAACGCTGCGATCACGCCTCCTGTGATGGCCACAGGCCGGGCGGTGTACTTGTGCGCGATGGGACCAGATATGAGCCCTGCGTGAATTCGGCAACAAAGGCAAAATTGCGCAAAGGGGAATATTTCTACGATTTTGATGTAGTTTATTCCGCGACTTGATAAGCATATTTTCTTAACGAAAATAGGAAACGAATCCACACGTGGTCACTAGACAAGCAAACAAAATGGCCAGTGGGATGGGCAACCAGCCAGTTAGCAGAGAATCATTGTTGATGGTGGATCCTTACCGGTTATAACCAATCTCAACTTTCTGAATTCCATATATGGGTACGTTGGTCAGTGTAACGTGGTCAATGAAAAATCTAATCCCTTTGTGAGACTACAGCAGGCTAGGCTAGGCAAAAAGGCAACCTCAAGAACACTACGATGAGTGCTATTAGAAGGGAGCGTGCCCTCTTCTTCTTTTGACACCTCGTTCTTCAGCTTACGCTAGTGCTGACCACGGCTCGAGCGCCGGGGCCATAAACACCGTGTTTTTGCCGTCAGGCCTTTTGAATGCGGAGCATTTCTTTGCATACCGCAAGTACTTCTGGCGTCTACCTGAGTATCTGTCTATTTATCCATCTATCAATATAACTAGCCTCTTACGTCTTGATGCTCTAGTGATCACCTCCTTAACTTTGCGTGAGCCAAGTTAGTATGGGAAAGTAAGGTTGCTTCATGAACGTGACGCGCTGGTCAAGACATGAATAATGTCACAATCCCAACACGTACGTCATCAAACACGTTCCGCCAGACAATGGCACATAGCAGCGGGTGGCTATGCGCCACTAATATGTGGATATGTGTCATATATAATTAATATTCATATCTGCCAAGGAATGACGAGAACAGTATGTGAGCAATTAGAAAAAGCTGACATCGGCAGCATGGCCCTCCCGAATGCGAAGAATAAATGTTAGTGTCCCAGCATGAATCAAGCCCAAACATTCCCCGTGGCAATCAAGCATTCTACCAATAGAGCCGCGCCAGGTCTCGAAACAACTTTTCAAATAGACCCCAATAATCATGAAACGTCAATTGTGGCTGCAGTTCTTGCTATCAAATTTTATAAAGATTACCGATGTACTCATACGACAGAGCCGTTACGTTGGGTTAACGCCAATTATAGTTAGGTGACATCCGCTCAAGTTGGCTTATGTAGCAGTGTCCAGGGCTACCATTCTCTCTAGCACCAGCACTTCATACGACCTTATCGCTTCTAGTTTTCTAATACTCATGTCCATATTGGCGTTTTTGCGCAAATGCAAACAACTGGCTGTATAAACATCTGCGGCTGTTCGACATATATGTGTGTGCGTGCAACACTCGTACATATATTTAGCGCGATTTAAAAACGTGTCGCTGAATAAAAAAAATTACAACATGGTCACTTTTCCTCGGCATGCTGCGCATGATGTCGATTCCCAAGATCAGCGGAATTCTTTGGAGTGAGCCGTGCGTCGGTTTTCCCTGCACGGAGACGCGTTTTCGAACTTGCCAGGACAAAGCATCACCATCGCGTCACGCTAGCACTCGTTACAGTGCTCCGTCGATCCTCATTGGCCGCCCGTGACAGCCCCATTTCTCAGTAGCTTGCGTTCGCCCTGTGTTCGTCCTGTGGCGCAAGCTTCAGACAGGTGTCTTTTCCAACCCCGGGTTTCATAGCAAGGTACACCCACACCTCGTGACACCACGCTGTAAATACTGCTCACAATCGGCCACCCTCATGCACATGGCATGGACATGCCCACAGTACGCTGACGCTTCTCACACATAAGATACAAGGGAGTCCCTTCTGCCTATCACTGATTCGGCACAGCAACGCCGGGTAATCTCACGCGCATTGGAGGCTGCGGTGTTCCAAGGGATCCCCGCTAACCTCCTCTAAGCAGTCTAACCAAACTCTCGGACTGTCCCCTCTTTTGGGAGTAATAAAGTTTTGACCATCACCGTCGCCTGCCGCTGGTGGATTCACCCAAGCTGCACGAGAGGTAGGCCCACTGCTCCTGCATGCGGCTTCACATACGCGCACTCGGCTGCTGCCCTTAGTGTGATAGCCGTAGCGCCTGCCGGCACGCGTGCACCAGGTCGGAGTTGCGGAGTTTCCCTGCAGGCACGAAAGCCCGTAGATGTAGCACTGTGCTGTATATTGGGTAAACAAAGCAGTGTTTGTTCACGACGTGGCTCAAGTGCCATCGCTGCGCTGTGTTGGAGAGTCGACGAATCCAGCCGTAACGTCTTCGAGCACAACGGCATTGTAGAACGTCCACTGTTTGCGTCGACTCTCCTACTTTCATCTTTTTTTTCAATGTGTTCAATTAATACTTTTGACAACGTACTGAGATGAGTCCACACGGCCACATCAGCCTCCGTTTTGGCCTTTTTTGTGTGCGTTTGATGTCCTTTGCCAACACGTACTATTGGATCCTGTGCATTACCATAACTAAATTATTTTTCCAGGATGTCCCTATTTTTGATGTAATTTTTCTAGTGATTCTCTCTTCTCTAATGATCAAATAGATGCCATGCAATGAAATGAGAATCTTCCACGTCTGTTGTGCTTTTGTAGGTCCATTGCTGATTTAAACCTCTTTAGTACGGCCAGGATACTTATTACAGATAAGTGGGTGTGGTGCAAACCTTAGCGTATGCGCGTATGTTCCAATTTCTAAGCAAATAACACACAATTTGTTGATGTGAGTCACATAATATAGAGCACCACGTACACACTAAACAAAAATGACCTGAAATAACCTCAAAAACTGGTAAAACCATTTGTCCTCTAGTGCACTACCTTTCCTGGGTTTTTTTTACCACCTACTACCGAGGTAAAAATTTACTCTCGTGCTAACTGAGTTTTTGAACGTAGCGAGAGTAGTAATTATTTACCCCAGTGAGGTTTTCAGCGAGTATAGAGAGAGTAAATTTTTACTACCTTCACAAGGTTTTTGAGGTGATTACTGGGAGTTATTTCTGGTGGTAAAAAAAATAAAAATGACGGGTGCATTCGCCGAGAGTCAACAAATTTATTGAATAGCAGAATTGATTGAATTTATTGAACGGCAGAATTGGTGACACATACATTTACATACAGACAAACACGCACACACAACAAATGCAGAATAATACACCACTAGCACAGACTGCACGCGTTGCTCGACTACACTTCGACAATCCGGTATATATATAGGCACGACTTTTTGACCGGCAATGTAGTACCGGTAGGAGAGCTTTTTTTTTTGCATCGATTAACAACAACGCTTGAAGGTGCAAGCGTTAGCTTCAGGTGGGCTGCAGGGCACTAAATGTCACACCAACCTTTTATTATAAATCTACACGATCTCACCTTTTTGATTATCCAATAATTGCTTGGCACACCGGGCTCTTTGCCCCACGCGTGTTAGCACTGCTGATGCACAAGTCCACAAAATATACCTAAGTACGCACAAAGCATGGTAGCTCAATGATTTTCATTCAGCGACGGTGCACAAACACAGTAGCAGCACGTATTCATCACAACGGGCATAGAAGAGCGGTCCACGCTTGCATACAAGCTGCTTACCGACGGCGTTCTAGGCCTTTTTGAGGAGCACGGCTATCCAATAAAACACAGCTGGCGATCACAGAACACATATCCTGTGCGAATTTCGTCGTCATTTCAGACACAGATGAACATGTCACCGCTATCTTACGGGGACGGGGTGGTGTATGCACACTTCCAACGAAAGACCACCATCCGGGTTTTCTTCGTGCTCACGGGCAGCCTCTTGTTGTTTCCGTCTACCTCGTATCGGCTTCGCGCTACATGTTTGAGAACAGTTGGTGCATGAGGTGGGCGATTCGGGCAGCACTTTACTGATGCAGACATCGCCTACTGTGGAACAAAATATATGCGATGCTTCTTTCACCTGCCCCGGCGACACACTTCCACTGGTCACTGGTGGCCACGGCTCGGTGACGACGACAGAGTGAAGCATTTTGCTTATTGCTTCTCTAGCAGGCAAGCACGGACGATGACACCAGATTGATTTTGTTACCACTGGCAGATCTTCACGATTCGGCTCGGAAGTGAGATATCCGCGACGTGCAGGTTCGGAGGCGCTCGGAAGAGCACGGTCGCTCGGTGATGTGGGAAACACGTGAGATCCATCAGCCCAACCAGACACACAGATACCGAGCTTCTTGCACTGTCTGTCTCCAAGGCCACCGCCGAGCAAAAGCAACATTTTGCGAAAATATGCAGGACCGCCGAGCGAAAACATCGGCACTCCGGGCGTGGCAGTCCATACTGCATAGACTGCGGCGACCTGGAGACTCTGGACCACCTTTTGCTTCATTGCCCGGCTGGTGACGCGAGCAGACAGGTGATGCTCGCAACGTACGGAGCTCTCGGCCTGCCTCGGACAACAACTGAGCACCTCTTGTTCCCGAACAGTGGCCGCGCGCATATCAAGCGTGCCCTTTCAGCGCTGCTCGACTTTGTAGACGGAAGCGGACTGCGTGAGCGAATTTAGAGAATTCGCGCCCCGTGATTTTGGTAGACGATCTGTGCGTCCCCCCCTTCCTTTGCTCGCTCTCTCCTTTCTCTTTCCTCTCTTCGCTCAAGTCTATTATCCCCCATTCCCCTTCCCATGTGAACCACTGCTGAGGTGTCGCACTTAGCTGCAGACAGTTGCGGGGTTCACTTTTCTTTTCTTTTCCAATTTTAAGAACCACTTCCCCCCCCCCTTTCCACAGCAGGTTTTCTTTCTCTTTTTTTTCTCTTTTGAGAGCCCCCCCCCCCCCGTCTTTTTTTTTCGTTCAAAGAATGCTGTTCTCGCTTGTTGTGCTTATGCTGCCCCCAGTTCCAGTAAAAGTGCGCTGACTCGAGGTCAGTCCAGAGGCACGGCGATGCAAAAAACAAAAACAAAAAAAACATCTGTGGGCTTCGCGTACCTTCAGTATTCACTGAGAGCGTCACAAGGGGGGATGGGGCAAAAGCCGCCGAAGCAGCTGCACCTTGCAGTCACGTGGTAATAAACTCTGAAACGCAGGTTAAAATCACGTGATAGAAAACTCCCTAAGTGGTAAAACTGGATTTTGACATCCTTTTACTACTTGCCTGGGAGGTGGTGGTAAAACTATGTCATGTACCATCTTTTACTCCTACGCGAGGTAGTAATTTTAAACCCGAGAGAGTTTTCAGAGGTCATGAGCCAGAAAAACCCCAAACTCGGATAGTTTTGGCTTACAGTGTACGGTTCCTGCCCCAACCATTCCGCCTTTTAGATTCTGAAACGCGACTACGTGTTCTTCGGCGGTTACATGAAACACAAGTGACCGAAAGGTGCTTTTACAGCACAACAGGAAAGCGCCACTGCGGCTTAGCATAAAGGTCACACGGCCAAAGTTAAATGTTCATATACCGGTCACAGACCATGCGTGGATGATAATTTGGTCGCCATCATCCCAAATGCTCATTGATTCAATTTGTCGGCCACAATGCACTGGAGAGACTGCTCGAAGCTTCGTAACTTGTGACTTGTCTCAAGATAAAATGGAACCTTACATGACCGATTTAAATAGCAAAAGAAAGCGTTGAACGAAAGCTGACATAACTAGTTACAAGAACAACTCATAAACTATAGATGCTTGGCGACTTTCGTGGCTCGCGGTTGTCTCGATCGTTCACGATGTCTCGCTTCGACGACCACTCGCCAATCGGGGCCCCGTTCTCAAGCTTCTCTAAGTGGCCCCGCAATCTTTCGCTTTTCTCTCAAACTATACTTCTATCTCTTTTATTTTTTCCTTACCCCTTCCCCTGTGTGCCACCGCTGAGACGTCACACTCTGAAGCAGACGGTTGCGGGGCTTCGCTTTTCTTTTCATTTTTTTTGTACTCAAGAATCACTAGCCCCCTTTGAGCTACCCGACGAGTCGAATGTACTTCACTGGCAACAGCTACGCGTCATTGGTTCTCAAATGTGACAGCGTATGATACCATTGTCCAAAAATATAGCGTTAATAACACTGTTCACACTTACACACAGTGGACCTCTTCAATGGCAAACACACCCAGTAATTCACATACCGGCACCAACACAAGGTTCCACTAAAGGCTGGTTGCTTACCACCTTATATTCAGAACATATTGCCCTTAATAACTTGTTGTTCGACAAATGATCACAGCACTGCATGAAATGCGCCATCATGCTTCAGCAGCCCAGCGTCGCTCTTCAGGTTGCTATGTTATAAACGTGGCCTCTCACCTGCTAGCGATATGATGCCGGTCATGATGATGACGGCCCACGCGGCCTCGCTTCGTGTGGCGTGAAACGTCTGTAGAATGGCCACATATAGAAAGCCAGCTGACCGACGGGCAGCAACGCCGAAGAAAGTGGACAAACTGCAAGCCGCTGAAAGGTAGATCACACACCGATTGGATGCATGAAAACAGCCGCAAGTGAACTACACCGTCATCACGACGTGCTCGCAACGGTTGCGGCACAACGGCATGTATTGCCGCAAACCAAGGACAAACAGCTTGGTCAACCTGACATAACATATTGTGAAAATATTGATGGGGCTTGTATCCGTGTTTCTGTAAATAGGCGACGCGGGCTGCTGGGCCAAGCGCATATAAATATGTAAGGTTTAATGCCCCAAAACGAGAGATAATGAGAGATGGCGTAGCGAAGGGCTCAGGTAATTTTAACAATCTGGTGTTCTTTAAGGTGCACTGTCATCAAACAGGTCTTCTAATATTTCGCGTTCATTGAAATACGGCCCAGTTTGAACTCGGCACCTTCAGGTCATCAGCCGAGCACCTTAGCCGCTACAGCACAGCAGTGGCTGGGCCCAGCGAATGTGCCCTCTTTCATTATTTTGTAACGCTTTGCCGCGGCTCTGTACTGCCTCAGGCAAAGCTAACCTTACAAAAAGCGCCTGGCCTGCACTGAAGGCGCAGCACAGTCAAAGCGAAAGCTAGAAGAGCCACCTCTCAGAGCTTTTTTTTCTTAAGACTCATTGGGTAACTGTTGCAAGCACACTTGCTTCACACCCCCTACGGCTTTAATAATAAAACATTTTTGTAGTAGGCCGGCATTCGCTGTGCTATATTTCGTTGTTCTATTGAGAAGCGTGGTATCCGCTAAACACTTGCAAGGAATTTTGTGCCATTTTTTCATGCATTGGTTGACAACGATAAGGAATTATTGCTGAAGTGGGTATGCGCCACAGTTAATAGGGTGACAGCAACAATATTTTGTAATGGGTTGGTTCATTGGACGACCCACTCGCTACGCCATTCGCAATGTGCGATGACTGGTTGTTCTCCGCTCTTTTGAAACGCTTCAGAAGTCGTATTAATGCGATTGCTTTCCCGACATCAAGCCTGCCTGAGGCAAGTTTGCCAACAAGTTCCACTGGAACTTGTTGGCATACTTGCCTTAGGCAGGCTTGATGAGCACCAGCATGACTCCGCAGTAGAATACTGGACTTGCACCCAGCGGATCCGGGCTTGATCCCCACAGTGTCATTGGTACTCGGTATTTTTCTCATTTCAAGCGATGTGCATGGTTACGGACGGTGGCGGCGGACAGCTACGGCGCTGCGCGAGACCCGATTTGTGATCTCATAACAGCTTTCGCTGTAAAAATTATCTGCGTCGAAACATTGTTGCCAAGAGCAGACGCCGACCAACCTAAAAGTATCAGCTTGATAATGATGCATTGCGTGAACGGCATTATTTTTATCGATAACATTGTTCGCAATACAACATAAATCACGACATCCGGAGGCAACGTTCTGAAGTCCAAGGAGACAAGCTGACTGAAGGAACAGTGTGTATAGTTTGTGACGTTACGCTTCCCGACTTCGTGCGAATGACTTTAAGCCTAGGACCGAAGTTCGCCTTCAAAAAGAAGCGTGACCTTCGGACCTATTAGCCATTGTTAGAAGTGAATCTAGTCGTGTTCCCTCCCCAACAAGACTCTGACCAGTGCAACTTGAAAGGGCTTGACATACTTCAACGTGGTAAGTCCGTTTCTACCCACCAGCCTTGAAGGCGGACCGTAAACTTTGTAATCAACAATGATCTATCTGTGGTGTCTTCAGATAAAAAGAAAGCTTTTGCAGTGCTTAGCAAAAGTCAATTTTTTGAAAAGCACAGCGCGCCCTTACTTTGTGTTTGGTAAGATTACCGGTATCAATTTGCGAAAAGTAAAAGCAAGAGAAAAGGATATATATGCCGAGAACATAACTTGCTAGGCTAAGTAAAGAAAACAGATAGGTGTGATAGCCAGTCACTGGATTTTTTTTTTTCAGCTAAGACACATAAGCCTGAAGAAACGTTTAAAGTTATTGTCCCGACCGTGCTTCTTGGCAAAAGACGGTTCGAGCAAGATACGCTAAAACTTTTCATCATGAAAGACCCATTTTTATTCAAGAAGTCAAATGAAGTAAAAGACTTCTTTCCGACAGCAGCGTCAAAGTAATCCAGCGGCTTTTTTTTCCTAGATGTTTCCTATTTTTTATCTCATCAAGCATTGCTCACTTGCACTCTTGAAGAATGTCATGACCAGTTCGGTGAACTGTCACTTTAGAACAGCCCGGGAATGAGTGCGCGTGGCTTTGCAGACCTACTGGGCATGTATCTCTCATCCAAATATGTAGAGTGGAATGACAATGTGTATCTGCAGAAAAATGGCTTGTCGATTGGGTCTTGTCTGGCCCCTCTTTTGAGCGACTCGTTTTTGGCGAAGTTGGACAGGGTGGTTGGTCAAGAATTAGTAAGCACGGCCACAAAAAAGTGTTTAGGCTTTTCGATAATTTTTTAGTCATAGTTAAGTGTGATTCGCGAGGTTTTGTGTCTCACGCCACTAAGTGTTGCCACTCTTTATGAAATTCCTTGATCTGCTTATATTGACACATAAAATGCTGGAAAACGCAGCCACCAGGTTTTTTGACCTTATCCTTACGTTTAGTGCCAAACAAACCTGTTGGTTGTATGAGCCACGCGTGGGAAAACCACTGCTGCCGTACATGTCTGCTGATAGCAAACTTGTCAAAAGAGGCATATTGAGTACGTGTTTCCCCAATGGAATTGACCATTCTTGTGTGCATTCAATGGACCAGCTTCCACAATCAGGTCGCTGTACTTGAGTCAGCTGAATATCCTGACCCAGTATTGGTTTCCATAGCCAAAAGTGTCCGTAGAAAACGGAAGGTTAAAGATGGCCAAAGAAATGGTGAAGCAGAATGAGATAACAGCAACCAAGAAAAAAAGAATAAAAAATAGTTGTGGACCCTTACATGCTTCAGATCGACCACAGCCTGAAAAACGTGCGGCAACGCATGCTAGTGCGTGTAGTTTCCTCTGCACCACAACAACTTTCTCAGTTGGTTAGGCTGACATGTGCCAGTAGACACAAGAAACAGGAGTGCTAAACAAAGCACAGAACCTGTTTCGTCAATTGCATTAGCAACGTTGCCTACGGGATTTCACTTACGTGCAGTGCCTGCGTATAACGGACTAACTGGAAGATGCCTTAAAGACAGCGTAGGTGCGTGCGTGCAATATTCGCAGCGGCAACGATAATTTTCTGACTAGAGAATCAGGTTGGGCGTGTTGGTAAGACATAATTAATGACGTAGCGCATAAAATATGTGAGACACGGAACAAGAGAAGGGACAAAGGGGAGTGCAGACAAAGGGACAAAGCGGTCCCCTTGTTCCTTCCCCTGTCCTGTGTGTCACACATTTGCGTGCTACTTCATTAATTATCATGGTTTTCTGGCCCGAGATGTCACTAGATATGGCTGTGAAGTTCAGTTTGACAACACAGTCGTACCTAATAAACACAAAGATGAGCGCACATGGATCACGATTGGAGCTGCAAACATAGCGTGTGAACACTTGACTTGCGTCAGCAAACCTTCAACAGCTCTGTCTGACAAGGAGCTAGCGTTTTTGGAGAGTCGCAGATGCCATAGGCATTAAGTAATTGCTCTAAGTCAGAGTAGGAGTTGGTAAGGTGGGGCTGACATACATATATATTTGATCGGTTTTGTTAGTTGTGTTTGCGATTTGCTCTTATCGTATGTGGCTACGAAATTGTTTTATTTGTCAGTATATACCTCATAGCTTTCAGAATAAACTTTCAGTTGGTAGTTAGCGCTTGTTTCTCTCAATCTCTTCCGCGTCTACGTAGTGCTCTCTTATTTCAAAAAAATTATGTATCACCAACTCGCTCAATCAACCATATCCTCAAAAGTAAAATATTTTGAACAGACTGCCATACGCAAGCCGAGACGCGTTTTATATTCTCTTGATGTTACTAAGACTCTTTTAATTGCGTTTTAATAAGATTGGCGTCTTCTTTTGTTATGTGTTTTTCATATTACCCTGATGATGTTCCGTTGTCCTCTTGCAACACGTGAGTGAGCTTCCATTTTACCTTTCTTTGCTTCGCCATCGTACATTTGTATCCTTAGCCGCAGAAATTTACTCCATTGCAGCAAAGACAACAGCAAAGAACTAGCACATTTGCAACGCACAATAAACCCTTGCAAATCTAGCATTTGAAAGCGCCACTTCCCAAAGCGTATTTTTCATTGCTCAATTTTCTTACGACGAGTTCTTAGAAGTTGCGAAGCGACATTGTTTGGACTGAAAATAAACACTGTTGCAGAGGCTAAAAAATCAATCATTTATTCATAAATTCATTTTTCGTACCATCGAGACCCCACTGCATTGCGTGTAGAGAGCTCAAAGGAAAGTCAAAGGTGTAGAGAGTCAGAGGTTTGATACCAGTACATCATTGCGAGAGAATATTAGTGTATTGGAACGTATTATACTAATACTCAGACATAAGTCCGCGTCGGTAGAACAGTGATTACAATGCTTGGCTGCTGCCCCGAAGGTTGCGGGTTCGATCCTGGCTGCGGCTATCGCATTTCTATGGCAGAGAATAGGTAGCTGCTCGTGTACTCGGTGATGTTAGTGAACGTTTGCTCTCTCTCTCTCTCTCTCTCTCTCTCTCTCTCTCTATATATATATATATATATATATATATATATATATATATATATATATATATATATATATATATATATATGTAACGCTATGATGACTGGGAGACGTGGCCTGGCTCACACTCCATGTCTATTCTACTCTGCACTTCTTCCTTTTCGGCTTCTACCAACCATCGCTACCTTCATACGTCACATGATTCCCCCTCCCCCCGAAAGAATGCGCGAGGTACAAACTATAAAGCATGAACAAGATGTGTCTCATCACAGGAAAAAATATCACAAAATAGAGTAGTTCCATGTAACACGGCAGTTCCATGCACTTGCACAAATCTTCACAGGGAAGGCAGTCCAGTGACATCTATAGGAGACCTCAGGTGGGCGAG